CCTACCCCGCCAGTCACTAGCTGAGCAACTTCAGGTCACTTAACCTATCTGAGTTTCCTCATCTGCAGACAGGGAAAGATGGCAGTTAAATGAGACCTCAGGCAGAAGGTAGTGAGAGGAGGACAGCAGGCATTTAGAGGTCACCTGCTGTCCAATTGTCATTGTCATGGGCCAATACATAAACCAACGCATGGACCTAACAGGGTCTGCAAGGCAAGCCACGCCCCATGCGGTAGCTCTCCTGGCAAACCTGGAAGTGTGTCTAAAATGACTGAAGCTCTGGTTGTTCCTTTGTTTGTTTGTACATTTTGTGGTCCTGGGGATTGAACCCAGGAGCACTTTACCATTGAGTCCATCCTCGGCCTTCTGTATATTTTGGAACAAGTTCTCACTAAGTTACTAAGGCCGGCCTCAAACTTGCCGTCCTCCCTCCTTAGCCTCCCAAGTCGCTGGGATTACAGGCGTGAGCCCCACACCTGGCTTCTGGTTGTCTTCTTAATTCAAGAAATATCTACTGAGCAGCTGCTGTTGGCCAGCGCCCTTCTCACTCTGCCTGCTGAGCGGCAGAGGTGGGGAAAGGGACGTGTCACGGAACCTGTGTGAAAGACTCTGGAGGTGTGTGAGCGCACATGTGCGCATACACACACCCTGATGTATGCACTCACACTCTCTACCTAATCTTTGAATTTTTTTTTTTTAAGTAAAAAGCTCATCTGGGTTTTAGGGATGGAATTCATTCCATTCTCCGATTTCTTTATCGGCTTCAAGATCAAGTTCAATGCCTGGAGATATCTGTTAGTCATTCATCCAGGCACCAAGCTCATCCCAAACAAGGCATCTTTGCTCTCAGCCGGCTCCGGTCTTGTAAAACTTAAGATGACTGAAGACAAAATTCAGGACCAGAACAGTCAGACTTGGGCGGGTGGCAAATCAGACAGCCAGGGGCGGCTGCCCAGAGGAAGGTGGCCTGCTCCAGACACCCGGATGTGGGGAAGGCTCCCGGAGGGGCACAAGCCAAGCCAGCCAGGAAGGCCAGAACCGGGTTGGTAAATACACATTCCTACTGAGCCCCAGCGGCCTCAAGCCAGATGCAGGAGGGAAAGTCGACCCCGCACGATCCCACACAGGCTCTGGACTCTGCAAGGTCCCACATGGGTATTTAATATATGCATCACATGCCAGCCCCACAATGAACCCAGTAGGAGGCCACACATTACCACCAGCACCATTTTACAGATGAGCATGAAGAGGCACAGAAAGGTTCACTGATCCATCCAAGGTCACACAGCTAAGTGCTATTCCAATCTGGGAAGCCTAATTCCTAAGTCTATGCTCTTAAACACTCTGCTGTATCACAGACCAAGTGAACAGACAGAAGGGGCCAGAAGTGGTTTTCTATGTGGCAAATGTTTATTTCAAAGAAAAGGCAGAAAACATTAGGATCCTTTTTCTTCAAATGCATCTGCTCGAACACATTTCCTTCCCTACTGTAAGCCTCACTCCCGAGTGTGGATTTTGCTATCACTTATTTGAGAGTCATTCAATTGCATCCCAGAGGACTTCCTGCCTTAAGCTCTCCTGCCATAAAGGAATGCATCTCTGAGCCACTTTCCTTCTGCAGACAGATTCGGAAGATTGGTTCTGAAAGGTGAGAGTCCAATTACTGGTCTTTGCTGGCCTGCTCGGCTTTAATCTGAGCGAAGTCACAGAAGACAGGCTAGGATTTCCCAGTCTCTTGGTCCTCCCAGACCCAGCGGTACCGGCCCCGTGTGTGTGCACGCGCCTGTGTGTTTTCTAGTTGATGATAATCTTTTAAAATCCACTTAAGCATAACTGGCTTATAAGGATCTGTAGTGGCGCCATCCGACCCGGCTCGGCTGCGCCACCTCAGTGCTGGAGTCTGTCTTTGTGTTTACACAAAGCAATGACCCCAAGTGACAGCATTTAACTTTTAACAGATTGATAAACATGTCCAGCTGCCAGGAGGGTGGCACGCACTTTCTAGTGATGACAATCGGCCCTCAGATTGAAACCCGCTGCCTTATAAAGGCGACACTTCTCTCGCGCCGTCTGTGTCTCTGCAAAGTCGAACTCAGAAGAGACGCTTCCTCTCCCGAAATTGTTGCGCTGAATCGAGACTTTGATTTTCAACCACGAAAGTAGCATCACGGAGCGGGAAGTGTACATGGGTCCCCAGCTAATGAGAAAAAAAAAAAAAAACAGGGACAAATGCAGAGATGGGACCACTGTCCTCTGAGGGCAAATGACATTGTGGCAATCTCCATGTGGGGCGGGTCTTGAGTTATCTCCAAGTAAACACAGAAATTCCAGCAAAACAGCATTGCCACCCGGTGTGGTGGTGCACACCTGTAACCCCAGTGGCTCTGGAGGCTGAGGCAGGAGGATCTCGAGTTCAAAGTCAGCCTCAGCAAAAACAAGACACTAAGCAACTCAGTGAGACCCTGTCTCTAAATAAAATACAAAATAGGGCTGGGGATGTGGCTCAGTGGTTGAGCGCCCCTGAGCCCCTGAGTGCAATCCCTCGTATTGGAAAAAAAAATAAAAATAAAACACCAGCATCACCCATTGCTTTAGCTGCTGCTGCTCGTTTGAGTTGGCGTGACAGCTCCAAGGCTCCACAGTAATTCTGTTTACATTCCACAGTGCAGGAGAGCTATAAGCATAAGGAATTTGTACCTAGTGATGTATTTGCATTTTGAACATCAGAATCTTATCTGTCACCCTGCAGCGCCATGATCATCCTCTTCCCTCGACATGTCCCTACCCCTCTCAGTTGTGAGCAAGCCCAGTGGGAGGGCTGAGCAGGGAGCTGGGCACCTGGTGGAGCAGAGCCGAGATTCTGCCCCTGCCATGGAGACACTGTGATCTCGAGCAAGCCCTTAACCTTCAGCAGCCTCCACTTCCTTGTCCAAGTTGGAATAATAACCTGGCTTCTCGAGTGAGCTGAGAGGGTTTCAAAAGCTCTCTGATGGACAGTGCCAGGCACACAGTAGGCATCACAACAAGACCATGTCCTGCCCTCTCCTCGGGGCTCCCCCCACCATAGGATGCCTGTGTCCCTCCTTCCTTTCAAACGTGGAGAAGAGGCCAGCAGCAGCTGCAGCCCCTGCCTGTCGTGATCATCTCCTCCTTGCTGGGTGAGGACCTGGGCGGGCAGCGCTCCAGGCCAGCAGGAAGGCAGCGATGGGGGTGTTCAGCTGCCACAGGCTCCCCAGGAAAGGGACAGCCATGGCTCCTGAGAGGGCAGCAAGAGGACCTGGCAGCAGATTGGGGCCACTTCTGCCACCCGGCTGTTCCAGAGGAGCAGCTGCCTCCAGGGCCCCCGCAGGCACACTTGGCTGCTCCTCTGGGCTTCACCCAGTCTCAGTCCAGCCACAGACATGGCCATATGGCAGCAAGCTCCCCCTTGGGAAGAAAGTGGAGGTCGGTCTCACCAAGATCCAAGGGGCAAAGCCACAGAGGGGAGGGCAGCAGCCTCCTGGACCCAGAGTCCTGGAACCCATCCCAAAGCTACCAGGTGTCACCAGCAGCCAGCTCACAGTTCACACCTGTCCTTCCCACCTCACCCGACTCCACCTAGGACGGAGTGTAGCCACAGAGAAGAAGTCATTCTGTGCATGTTTACTGGTCAGCTACTACAACCAGGAAGACACCACAGGGCCCTCTTGCTCACTCTCTTGGCAAGCAGCTGAAGCTACAGGGCTTTTCTGCTTTAGATGGATGGCAAACAGTTACCAGCTCTGAGAAGGTGGCAGGTGCTCGACATAAATTATCTCAACTAATCTTCCCAGAAATCTTCAAAAGCTATTACCCCATTCTGCAAGTGCACAAACAGGCTCAGAAAGGTGAAGCCCAGAGATGATGGAGCCAGAGTCTAACCCTAGACCTCCTGATTCTAGAGCCCAGGACATCTTACCAGACCATATCACCTTTTGAATTTCAGATGGGAAACAATGACTGGTGTTTTATTGAACACCTACTAGGTGCCAGGGATAAGGATTTACATAATTTCTTATTTTCATAAAAAGCCTATGAGAGGGCTGGGGCTGTGGCTCAAGTGGTAGAGTACTCGACTAGAAATGCATGAGGCACTGGGCTCAATCCTCAGCACCACATAAAAATAAAATAAAGATATTGTGTCCACCTAAAAACCTAAAAAAGTAAATTTTTTTAAAAAGCCTATATGAGATTAATACAATTATATATCCTCTTCAGATGAAGAAATGGAGGCTCAAATAGCTTGAGTGTAAACCCTGGTATGTGACAAAGTCAAGGCCCACATCAGGTCCACCTTCTTCCAGAAGGTGGGTATTTCCAAGGTCTCAGCTTCCACATGGATCCCTCGGGAAAGACTTCGCTAAGCACCCAGACTAGGTCACACCTGAGCTACTCATCTCCAGGAGTCCTGGGCTTCTCCTTTCTAATCCCCACCCCAGAAATGAATAATGAGTGAGTCGGGAAGGATCTCAGGATGGAGGGGGTTAGTTGTGCCTTGAAGAACTTGGGAGACTCCAGGGGATCATGAGAAGGTAGAGGGCAGTCAGGAGGGGAGGCTTCTGGGACAAACAGAATAAAAGGGCATGGGGCCAACTGGCTACTCTTGTGGGGAACAAAACGTATCACGCTCCCTGCCTCACACCATACAGAAAAAAAATCAACTCCTGATGGATTGCAAGTACAATGAGAAGAACCCCAAAGCTTTGCCCAGATCTCTGCTAGCAAAACTCTCTCATCTCCAGGGTCTCATGCCCTCACGGTGGGGACAGATCCATGAGCAAGTGGAGTCAGGAAGGCCCAGTGATCCTGAGGCCCTAGACTAGGGGGTGCAGGCTTCCCAATCTCAACATAAAAGATGGATGTTTAACGAAAGTCCTACTTCAAAAGGCAACCCCATAAAAAACTCAAGGATAGAGTTCCAAAGAAGGCAGATTTCTATCATCGTTCAATATTTAAATGGTCCAACAATAGCTGACACTTACAGAGTTCTTCAAACATGCTGCCCTTTGTCCAAGTGCTTCACCAGAGTACACTTACCTCCACATCACAAAGGAGGAAACCAAGGAAACAAGAAGTTAAGTAACTCAAGGACATTGTCACTTGAAGGACATCAGACCTGGAGTCAGAGTACCTGAGTTTCTTATTGGGAGTCTTTTTGGCAAATGATTTTATTTCTCTGGGCCTTGGTTTTGAAAGATGAGGGGGAATGAGGATTGTACCCATGGTGCCTGTGGTTGGGAGGAATAAGTGGGGCGGGGGGTGGTCATAAATACACTCTCCTAACTTGAAATGCAAGACATCTTTCTTTATTTTAACTAACATGACCCTGACATCAGTTCTTTGAAGCAGAAGCTGAATCAGACAGTGTTCAAGAGAGGTACTCACACACTGTACAGATATTTACTGAGCACCTGCTCGTGCCAGCCATCGTGAGAGCACTGGTGCTGCAGGGGTGAGCACAGCCAAGCCCTGGCCCTTGTGGCTCTTCCATTCTAGTGGCAGGGATGAGAGAAGGCACCCAAGGAAACTGTGGCCCAACATCAGCCAATGATGAGAGAAGCCATGAAGACCAGCTGAGGAAGTGAAGGATCACGGTGGGGCTTTTTATTTCTAAATAAATACTATCCCGTGTGAGATCAGCTGATTTAAATAAAAGCATCCATAGCAGCGGCAGTTCTGTAAAAGATCAGATGGTTTTTTATCTGAGACCTGAAGGAAGAAGGAGACAGACAGGTGGATTCCGGGCAAGAGCAAAGGCGCAGAGACCGCCGCCTCTTTGGGGTGTTGACGGGGAGACAGGCTGAAGTCGGAAGGCCTGCAGGAAAGTGCGGCTCCCACCCCCCTGGGGCTCCCCATCGACTCCAGCCAATCACGGCCGACCTTCCCTACACTTTCCCTCCTGGCCAATCAGAGCAGCCTTGTATGCCGCCGGCGCCTGAGTGCGTGCGAGTGCGTTCCTTCAGCCCGTTCCCTCCCTGACGTCGCACCTGGCGGGGCGACGGAGACACGTGTGGACCAAAGACACATAGTTAGTCCCCTTTCCCAAAGCCGGTGTCCCCTAGAGAGGAAGACAGGGAGTCCACGGAGGCATGGGACCTGCTGACAGGGGCGGGCCGGGAGACGCTGGAGAGGAGAAAGCGGTTCTGCCTCCAGACTCCATGGCCTCCTCCTCCTCGGGCAGCAGGCTCAGGACAAGGGTTACAGCTGGCACCAGCGAATGGGTCACTGCAAACTGCAAAAAACGTCTGACCCGCGTTTCAGTCCGTAGGCGCCACCTCCTCCCGCCACCGCCTTTCGCCAACTCCGCTAAATCTGCCCAACTGATGGTGGCATCGGTCCCCGGTACCGAGGGCTCCCACCGCCCCGCCGCTCTCTGTGGACACGGGGTGAGGGCTGAAGGGGACCAGGAGGAGGCAGGCAAGGAGACAGGCCACCAGGGCATTCCACTGCGTCGTGGGACACCTCACGGGAGGTGGGGTGCTGTGGGAAGCAGTGCAGGCCAGCACCTTCTTTGGGGTGATGGGGGGGGCACTCTCCGGGGAAGCACCCTGGAGGAAATCTGCGCAGAGAGGAGAGAGTGGAAGGAAGGACAGACTGGAGCACACGGAAAGGTTGGAAGATGGGAGAGAAAATGATGGGGCCCGGGGCTCAGCTTCTGAAGAGCAGGGCATCAAATTGTGATGGGTCCTGGGGGCCTTGCCACAGTTTGCACCCATCCTGTAAGAATGGAGGCAGCTCAGATCTTGCCTTTCATAAGTCATGACTAGCCAGGTACAGTGGTCCACGCCTGTGATCCCAGTAGCTTGGGAGGCTGAGGCAGGAGGATCGCGGGTTCAAAGCCAGCCTCAGCAACTTAGTGAGGCCCTAAACAACTCAGCGAGACCCTGTCTCATAAAATACAAAAAGGGGCTGGGGATGAGGCTCAGTGGTTAAGCACCCTGAGTCCCCCCCGCAAAAAAAAAAAATAAGTCATAACTGGTGCGTGCACATGGCTGGTCGAGGTTGGAGGTTGTTACAATAAAACAGAGAAACTGAACAGTAATCCAGGCTATAGAGTGGATGGTTTGGAGCAGGGAGAGTGGAAATGGGAAGAGAGAAATCCAGGACAGCCTCCAGACTCGTAAGCTTGGAAACGTCTGAATGAGGCATGGTGTGAAGAAAGCCTATGGGAGGACAATCTGAGGGGCAAACAGACATCAAGCCCAGGTGGAGGTTCAGACCTCTGGGCTGTCACGGGAACGGCCGTGCACCCAGGAGTCTGAGGCGGAAGAGCAGCCTGGTTGGACATAAAGGCAGGGGGGTCATCGGTACACAGGAGAAGACTGAAGCCAGCAAATGGGATTCTCCAAAGTACATGGTGCAGAAGGGGACGAGAGCCAAGGGGAAGCCCCAGGACACAAATTACTCGATAGTCAGAAGAAGAGGAGCTCGCACAGGACTCTGAAAATGAGCAGGAGGATCTAGGCAATAATGGGGTCCCAGCTGCTCAGGGAAGAGGGCTCAGGAAGAAGCCAAGGGGGCAGGCGGGTCAACTGAGGTCAACTGTAGAAGCAAGCGGCTGTAGTCGTAAGGACCTGTGGCAGTGCCGCCCTCTCTGTGCTCAAGGGGAAAAGGTTAGAAACCTTCGTACCGACTTTTTCATTACCCTCTGCTCTTCATGAAAGTACAGGCGCGAAACCCGAAATTCATTTAGTGCGTGTTTACCAAAGGGGGATTAAGGAATTGTGCTCCATGAGATGACACACACACACACACACACACACACACACACACACACACACGCATGCACAGAGTCTGTGGCAAAACGAATTTTTTGAGAGACTGTGCAATGTATTCCCATGTTAGAGTTTGATAATGCAATTAGCAAAGTCAAAGCCCAGCCCCAAGGAACCCTGTTTAACCTCATTTAACCCAGCATTGCCCAAACTCATTTGGCAATGGAATCTCTTCATGATATATCTCCTACCAGCATCTCCCGGGGTGGGCACCAGCAAAACACACTTTGGAATTCGCAGGCTTAGTGGGAGGGGAGAGTCTAACTGGCGAGGTGTCTGCAGCTGTTAAGTCTCTGGCAAAGCCATCCCTGCCAACCTTGAGAGAAAGCTTTCCTTGGGTTGGGTTCCTTCATTCATTGATCTAAAATTTATGAGGTACCCATTATGTGGTGGTATAGCCTGGAGTTTCAAAGGTGGCACATTTGAGGAAAAGAGAATTGCAGAGACTGAGGAGATCATTCTTTGGACATATGTGTCTGTTTATGGTGGAGAATATGGTTAGCCAAATAACCAGCCAGATGCTGGCCTCTTGGAAGGGAGAGGGAAGAAGCATCACCATGAGGCAGACTTCTCTCCTCTAGGAAGTTGGAAGATTTGGAAGGATTTTAAACTGTAAGCAAAACACTGGGGGATAAGGGCCATAAAGAATCCTGGGACTTAGGGTCCCAAGGACTTAGGAGCCTGGGGGCTCCTACTGCCGGCAGAGTGGAAGACCATTCTCAGTGTGGTTGCAGTTGTGGTTGCTACCATTTATTTAGCACCTACTATGTGCCAGACAATTTATATACTGATAATAAGAATAATAAAGCAATAGCTAAAACTTACTGAGTTCATACTAGGCACCACGTACTCTTCTAAACCTTTTACAAATGCAAATGACTGACTTATTTAACCTTCTAACAACCCAGTAGATATTTGTATTAGATTTCCATCGTCATAACAAAAATACTTGATATAAATGACTTCAAAGGAGGAAGGTCTGTTTGGGGTCATGGCTTCAGAGTTTCAGGGCATGGTCCCTTGTATATGTGGTTTGGGGCCTGTGGAGGGGCAGAGCATCATAGTGAGGAGTCCGTGGAGAAGGAGGCTGCTCACCTCACAGCAGCCAGGAAGAGAGAGTTGGGGGCTGGGGTCCCAATGCCCCCGTGACCTGATTCCTCCCACTAGGCCCCACCTCTGAAACGCTTCACCCCCTCCCAACAGTGCCACAGGCTGGTCACCAAGAGCATGGTCTCTGGGGGACATTCAAGGCCCAAACTGTAACAATACTAACCATCTCAAGAAAAGTGAGGCACTGAGAAGTGATGTTCTCGCCCAAGATCATGACTAGTAAGTGACAAAGTTGAGATCTGAATCTTACCTGGTTCCTCCAGATATTACACTCTTAAACCTGACACTTCCTGCCCCTTAAAAATGTCCTACTGGTACTTAATTTGGATTGCTGGAGTCTGAAGCTAATCTGGTCACTCCTAACCTGATCACTCCCTGCCATCACCCACAGTGTTCATGTTCTTTAATCTTCTCGTGTTGATGTGTTGTTAACCCAGTTTACAGAGGAGGCTCGGTGTGTTGTTCACACAGCCCGCAGAGGGCAGCACTAAGACCCCTAAACCCGGGGAGTCTGAGTTCCCAGGTCTGCACTTTCCCATCACACAGACGGCTTCATTTTTCAAGCCAGAATTGAGGGAATTGGGGTCAACAGATTTCATGGCCGCTGAGGCCTGGGACCCACTCACTGGGAGAGGGAGGGGCACAGGCGCTGACCGTGGTGCTGACCCAACCGCAGTGCTGAGCGCTGGCCGTGGTGCTGAAACCGCTTCCCAGCAACACCCTGCTGGGCAGACTCAGTCCTCTAGATGATGGAGAAGGCCAAAAGAGTTCAGGGAGGGGACTGGGTTGACCCAGTAGTGGGAAGGAGGAGGTTTGGGGTGTGTGGCCAACAGGCATCTTACCAACCCACCTTTGACAACTGGCGTAGCCAAAGCTGTACAACCTGTGGGACGTCAGTCTGGCTGGAATTGAAAACAGTTATTTTGCAGTTTGCAGCAGCCTTGACCTTTAACACCCCTGGACTCAAGGTCAAGTAGACTTAGAGACAGTTCCCCTGTCCAAGGTTGGCCTCTGGGAACCCTCACCTGACCCAGGGTCATGGTCTTGAACCTTAAGTAGGTCAGGACCATTTGCATCATGCTGCAGTGACAAGCCACAGCCCCAACACTAGTGAATGCAGATTTTCAAGTACACAATGGGCCAGG